AAACCTAAGAAGTAAATACGGATTGAACAGAAACATCGCTCTGACCTGTCAGAAGAAACGAAGAAACGTTATCAACTATTTGAAGGTGACTCAACCACTAGACCAGATATAAAGAGAAAATTCCAGCACGTCGCTAAACATGCGTAGACTCTAAACCCTCATATATAAGAAAAAAAAAAAAAATACTCGAAGATTTTTCCTGCGCAGTAAAACGAGAGGAATTCTTTCTTTTTTTGTTTACTATGAGGTCTTTAGCGATTTTCTCTTTTTATCTGGTCTAGTAGTTGGGTCTCCTTTGTTGGTAGTTGATAACGCTCCTTTGTTGTTTCTGGCAGATCAGAGCGTATTTAATCCGTATTTACTTCTTAAGTTTATATATTTTCTGCATTCATGTAGCATTCATGTTGAGTGGTGATTTGCTGGTGTGCAGGTGTTAGAGAAAGGTGGTTCTGTTTTAATTAGGAGGTATTCGTATGTGATCTTGGAGTGTCTGGACCGATTCGAAGTCTAGTCATGGCTATCCTTTCTTTTCTGCTTATATTGTTGTTTTTGGTATTTTTTTTTTTTTTTTTTTTTTTGTGGAAATGGTGTGCTATGTCGTGTAGTTTGGTTCTATTCGTCGTAGTCCAAATTCTGTTCCATCCTTCTCTTTCAGTTTTGGTTGTTGAAGCTAGTAGGTCTTGGTGTGGGAGTGGGATGTTGGTTCGAGTATTTCCCTCTCGCAAATAATTCATTCCGAGGACTCGGAAGGGAAACGAACGCCGATCTCGAGGCACAAACTAACTCGATCGTGGCCGCCGCCTTTTCTTTTTCCCCCTTTCGTTTCGCGACGAGCTCCTGGTATCGATTTTTGCTTCTCGATCGCGTCAATTATCGCTGGAATTCGTCTCTGTCGTCGTGTTTCCTCTCTCTTTTATTTTAGTAATCACGAGCTGCGTATTTTCGACGCAGAGGAATCGCTCTGACTCTGGAAATGCGAATTTACTCTCGCCGTGGAAACAAACTATTCCACGTCTACGTTGCGGCGTGAAAATTGTAAAATTCAAATCCGAAGGATCACAATCGTGTTTCTCCGAGTGGGGGAGAAGAAAAAAAACTGTCAACCGTCCGCCAGTATGACGGGAGAGAAAGAAAAAAAAGAAAGAGAACGAGGCGAAAATTTGCCGAAACATTTGCGGGGATTCCAATGCAATTCCGGGAAAATATTGTTTGTCAAATCGTGGTTTATCTCGTTTCCGCGTCGCCGAGCGAGTGTTCGACAACACATTTATCGAAACGTGTCGTTTTTTTTCTCTTTTTTTTTTCCCCCGTCTCGTCACGCGGGAAATTTGAACGTGCAGAGAAAAATACGCGCACGTAAAAAATACACGAAACATTCGACTATTGGAGGAATTCTTCTTTCAAGTTTCTCTCCCAGATTTCATTAGTCGCAGTTCTCTCTGTTTGTTTTAGCCCCTTGCGCTGGCAGCTGGTTGCGCGGACCATAACGAGCGACCGAAACTCGTCGCTGAATAGAAACACTTCTTAATAATAATTATTAAGTAACTTAATAAGTAACACTTCTTAATAATAATTATTAAGCAACTTAATAAGTTACAATTCTCAATAATAATTATTAAGCAACTTAATAAGTTACACTTCTCAATAATAATTATTAAGCAACTTAATAAGTTACACTTC